TGCTAGTTGGGACCGTAATTATTCTATTTAGATATCTATCCATTATCCATAGATATTGGAGTAAATGAAAATGGTGAAGTTGCTCTGGAAGGATTTTGAAGGAAATTTGTGTTGCTCCAGGACAACGCTTGCTTATGATCTATAGCCTATTGCACATATAATTTTTAGAGCTACCTACAGCAAGTTTTTTGTCTCTGTAAAGCTATGTTGCAATCAGTTATAGGTACAACAAAATCAACTATTTTTGGTACACTTTAGCTCTTGTAACAAACTCATACTTCATAGATTCTAACTCTAACCTGTATAATTACTTTGAAAAGTGTAATGTCTTTCATATGATTATAATGGTTTCCAGTTTTACTTTAGCATGTTTTGAGAAAAGGGAGAATAATGACATAAATGGTATTTTTAGATGGAAAATGTGCCGCCGTATCATTAAAATTATAAAGTTTTTGGTACAATAGATAACAGTAGTGTTGAGAGGAAACATTAGGCTTCTTGATGCATAAGTTTCACTAACATGAGAACAGTCTTTTTTTTTTCTTTTTTTTCATTTACTCTATTATCTATGACAAAATTAAATTTTATGAGCCACGCCCAACAATGGAAAATAAAAAATATTATAGCAATATTTAAAATTTTAAATGCAGCTAAAAATAATGTAAAATAAGGCCAACTTTGAACTTTACTAACAACTATTTAGACTAATATGCTATACTAGTGTTTTTAAGTTTCTCAGCAATATCATCGCACCCATTCTCTTTTAATTTATCCATCAGAGCATGTCTAGTAGGGTTGTCCGTTTGTCTTTCCCACAATAGCAACATTAACATCATTGCTTTCTTCCTGCCATCCTCATCTCCTGGGCTACTCAAGTCAGGGAATTTACTTTCATCAATGTTCAATGCAATGTTAAAGGCCTCAAATTCATATTTGCCTGTAATAATGCCAGAAATGTCTTGAAAGTTCAGTAGATCATCTAAAAAATAATCATAATATCAATGAGCTGTAACTGAATTAATACTTGCTTTCATTTGTTCTTGCTTCACCACCTTTGCTTAACAAGTCACACTACATGAACAAAATACACAATAATAAAAACACAGCTAAGTAATGAGTAATAACACATAGATCATTATTTTATTGTAAATAAACTCGTTTCTTAGTATCATTATTATGCTATCATTATACCTGTTTTGCTGCTTTGCTCCAACATAATCTGAAATTATTTTCAGTTGAACAAGCATCACAGAGCTGAGGCTCACGATTGTGATAGAGAAAATGACATCCACCTTTGGGAGATGCACAGGGAACAGCAAAACTGTATTTGAGGTCACGTATCGTATTAATTTTTCTGTCAAGACATCTGCAAGAACCAGCAATAACTTTTTTGCACACTTCAACTGCTGCTGGAGATGTGAGTATGTCATGGAGCTGTTCATTATTCTTAATCTTGTCTTGCTTCCTTTGTATATCATCTCTATTTTAATAGGAGGGCCACTCGTGGATTGGAATAGAAATCGTGAGATGTTGCTGTAGTCTGTAGCAATAAGAACAGCATCATCATTATTATCCATAATGGCGTAGCTAATGCAAGCTTGTACATTGGCTGGGAAGTTGACACTCTCTATCTCAATGAAAGCATAGTCATTCTCTTCTTCTAATGGCACATATTCTGCACGGGTTCTTGCTAACGGTAAATAATAGTGTACCTCATTAGGTTGCTTCTGACCATCAATGAGGATAGACTGCCCACTTTTAATTTTAGAGGCCATTGCAATTGTTGTAAGAACTGTCATAAAATCTTGAGCACTCT